AGCGCGCTGGTCCCGCCCCCCGGCCCCCCCACGATGTGTTTGGCCTGCAGATGAGCCGCTGAGGAAGCACCATGCATCGCCATCTCATCGTCCAGTCACTTCAGGCAGAAGTGGGGGGAGCAGGGGAGCCATTTTAAATACCCCCCCTTTGCCCTGTCCCAGAGAAAACAAAAACTCCTTTGATGCAGATTATGGACACCACATACTGACCTTCAGGTCCCTGTGCACTATGCCATTTAGGTGACAATGATTTACACTTTCTAGAATCTGCTGTATACAATGACTGCAAAGATACAAGGGCAGAATGGGAGGAGAACGTTTTAAAGGCGCAAAATCACATCGAATACAGATTAAATGAAGTTCAAACGAAACAAACAAACCAACAAAAATGATATTTTTTTCACATTTTTTTTTTAGCTTTACACTGGAATAATGCGGAATAAAGCTAATTCTGGTTCTAACAAAAATGACGTCCAACACAGACTTTGTGACGTGTTCAGATAAAACAATTTGAGCTGTGTTTTATCGTGAGTCTACAAGGCAAGTCATTAGTATACGGAAGTCAAGGTTTTCCCATTTGGGGGAATAATTTATGTGTCTTTCCCATAAGTTCAGGGAAAACTCTTTAGAGCTAGAAAACGTGCGGGTGTTTCTCATACACACCTAAACTGTTTAAAATCTGAGGTCACAAACATGAGCACTGAAACAAGGGTGAACACGGATGGAGGGGCAGGTGAAGCGGGGGAAGGCGGGGGACACGTTTACACGTCACGCGGAAACGGGGCTCCCTGCACCAGGTGTCAACAGGAAACACCTGACCGTTTCCAGGACCGGGTGACTGAACGCCGCCCGCGACGTGCAGCACCCCGGCAGCCGGCCTGAGTGTGGGGAGGGCCGAGGGTTGACTGGGAGGGACCTTAGGTGTCGGCCCCCGGGGCACTGCTCATGGCTAAAGACATTCCCACACGCCTCAGCAGAGAAGACGCTTGCTTGTGACCCTCCAAGGTGCACGGCTCACACTGGCCTCAGGAAGGGCCCATCGGCGTCTAGCAGATCGCTGACTAAACTAGAGGGGCACGTCACTGACTGGCACCTGTGCAGTCCCATGGGCTGTCACCTGACAGGGACAGAGAACACAGTGCACTGGGGACATGTGCACAGATCACTGCGAGGTTCCCACGCAGGACACGCAGAGCCCCACCCGTTCATTCACGGACGGAGAAGCATTTCGAGGAGGACGCTGCAGCCATTAAGTGTACAGAACGACATCACTTCAAAGTCGTTCTTCAGGTAAACAAAGTGACACCGTCTGACTTGTTGCAACGTGGACGTCAGGAGCCTGATGGTGATGTGGCCTCGCTCTACCCTACCGGAGGCACCTGCCGTCGGCTGTGCTGACAGCCTGGGGCCGGCCGTCCTTCCTGACAATCACGTGGCTCTTTTTCCTTGTTCACAAATGTTCACTCTGTACTACTTTTTAGGAATATTTCCCTTTCTTATCTCAAACCACATGTACAGATCATTAGGTCTAGTGAATAACAAAATAAACCGTAATCATATTAAATGAATGTCACTGTTTTTACAAGCGAGAATGGCCTGAACTCTTGCCTTCTTGAGGACTAGTAAGAAATTGGGGTTTATGAATGGTTCCCAGAACCTGTGCTTTAGGCCTGAGGCTGAGACGAGGCTGCCCCCCTCCATTTTGTGGGGGCCATCCCCAAAGCCCCCGCAGCGCCGGCCCAAAATGAAGCAGCCGACGCGGTCTGTGGGGCAACGGCCTGCTGTAGCCTCGCCTGCACTTTTCAAATGCAGTGGTGGCTGCTCACGCAACTCTGAAGGGCACACTACCTGGGGCTCCCCACATGGTTGCCAGCCCCCCTGACAGTGTTACTCTGGCCCGGGCGGGGCCGTCCCCAGGGCCCAGGATGGGGGCACGCCAGCGCGCCCAGGAGCTCCCTGTCGGCCATACGCTGCCATCCCACTCTGCAGACGGTCGTGGCCCCACCAAGCGGGGCCTCCCGCGCCTCTGGGCCCCACCCGCGTGCTGCCGGGGTTGTGGGGCTCCGTGTGGTCCGTGAGGCCTGGAGCTGGGGTGCCTGAGGATGGGCTGCGTCCGGCTGGTGGCTCGGCCGCTCGGGTCACCGAGGGCTGAACTTTTAGTGTCATTCGATTTTAATTAATGGAAACAGACGGACGAAGGCCCGGGGCCAGGTGACAGCGGATGGGACGCCTGAGTCGGGGCCCCCGCCCAGGGGATGCGTGGAGGGTGCGGCCCGGTGCGACTGGCTCACCTGGCGTCCGCCTCACTGTAGTACTCCCTGGCCACGATGTCCTCAAACAGCTCGCCGCCGGTGACTCTGCGAAGAAAGCGCATGGTGTTAAACAGAGGGGACACTTGGCGACTCGCGCCAGCTCACACGGAACGTGGGCTCCGACTGCTCCCCGCAGTTAGAACCCACGATTACCGTGCGACCACACACGGACCCCAGAAATGGCCCGATACAGGGAAACTAAGCAGCAGACACTGCCAACGAATCGTGACCGTCTTTAAATCGACACTTTTCTGGGGTTTCTCAGAGGAGACGTGATGTATATTCACATTTGCCTTCGTTTCTGATACAGGTACCTAGAAAACCCGTATACGGTACAAACGATTTCAGATTTTTAAAGTGTTGGATAAACATTGACTGAAAAGCCTACTGACACGGATAAAATCGCTGCTGGTTCTGGCGAATGCTTATCAGTACCACACAGCCCATGAGGACTCGGCCCCAATGTCACCGGCACGGGGCCTTACTCATCTCTGGGGCCTTAGCACCCACCTGCATCCAACGCATGACACTTGCTCAATTAACGAGTGCTGCAGGAACGGTCGAATGCCTTAGCCAAGTCATCCGCCCTCACTCTGGGCTCGACGTGCGCTCAGACAGGAAAAGCAAGCTCTATGATTTAGCTCCTGCGGCAAAGGGTTTATTTCGTAAGGGGTTCATATTTAAAGAAGAAAATTAAAGAGTCAGGGACCACATGCCAGTCATTTTCATGGACGACCGCAGCTTTTAAACAATTGGAGGGGTGCTGTTTTCCACTGTGTTTGGGATGATGCAGTTAACCGCCTCTGACAACTCATGCTCCCCATTAAAACTTAAAAACATCCTTGGGCAAATGAGACTGTTATCATCTGCTACGTTTGTGATAAATGTCTGGGAAGGAAAAATGGAGTTCCAACAGAATACACTGCCTTAAAGAGAAACTACTGGCTTTTCTAAATTTAATACATCTCCACATGGACGTCATCATTTAGTGGAGCACAAGATGAAGCGGCAGCTACTACAGATTTTTGAAAATTTTCCGTGTGCTACGTGAAACCGCACACAAACTCAGAAATTAAACGTCTCACGAAGGAACTGTTGGGTGGATTAATTAGTGACCGTGAATAAACTGATGGCAGCTCCGCTGTGACAGAGGCACACCGAGCGCATGTGTAAACGCGAATTACCGTTTCTGAGTCTCTGCCACGTTAGGGCTCACGGCACAGGAAGAGATGCTGTTAGAACCACGAAGGAGACACAGGGGTTTGCGGTCGCTGTTGGCAGGGTGGGGACTCCCCGTGCTGTCCGGTGAAGTGGACTGTGCTTTGGTCCCCCCAGAATCACTGGACCAGCGCCTCTCCCCATGACGGTTGGACGCTGACACGGAGCACAGCCACACGCCCCACGTCCCTCTGGAGTGACGCCTCCCTCCTGCGCTCAGAGCTCAGAGTTCTCGGACACGGCCGGTTCAGCGCGGAGCTGGGTGGTGTAACCACGACGGGAGCAGACTCTCCTGGGTCAGCCAGTCCGGCAGCCCAGACACAAGCCCGGTGCCCGCTGACACCGCTGTCAGCGTCTCGGGAGTCAGGCCAGCTTCCTGTGCGAGTCCCCAGCATCTGACGACAGCTCTGGAAGTGGGTTACCCGAGGTGGTCCAGGACCGGTTTTCTGGCAGATTCTGAACTGGACGCCAGAGAGCACGAAGGTCGAGTGCTGCTCTCACCGACGCTCCACAGAGTCCCTGCTGGTCCTGAGGCAGAGTGGCTTGCTGCGTCACACGAAGATCACTGCTGAGGTGCCAAACCCGAGACAGGCTGGTGGCTCAGCCTGGAGGGGCGCATGGGGGTACGGGGCGGGAGCCGGCGCTGCCCAATGCGGTCAGCGAGCAGGCGGGAGGCCGGCTGGCGGGGTCTGTGACCCTTCAGAGGAGCACGGGAAGCGAGCTCGGTGGGGCCGGAACTCCAGGGCCACCTGAGTGGACGATGGGGTCCCGGGCCCGTCCCCACCCTGACAGTGAACCAAGACCCCCGCGAGAGGGGCCCGCCCGAGTCCACACGGACCACTTACCATCGTCCAAACACACGCCAACTCTCACTTTTGCTCAAACTGACCTCTGACTGTACTGTGTGAAAATTTACGCACACTTTGAGGTCGGATGCAGGTACCATGTTTTATCCTGTGCTGGAAAAATCTCTGCTTCAACGCCCCGGGTCCTCGTCCCCTTTCTGACGGCAGCGTCCTGCTTGGCATCGGGCAGCTGCGTCAGCCACCGAGCCCCATGGTGTGAGTGGCATCTGGTGGCGGGGGCGTGCCGTGCTCCCCATGTGCCCATGCGCCCGGCACGAGGCACCTCATGTTCGGCATCGAGCAGACAGCGGCCAACGCGCGAGGCGGGCAGGACGGAGACCACCTGCTCTTGGTCACGGGCACCGGCTGACGACGCTGGTGACGCCGGCTGGGTGCCAGCTCTCCGCTGCTCCACATCAGCCCAGCCGGCGACCCGCACGGCCTCTGGTGTCACTCCGCTCCCATCCACGGCCGATGAGACCGACCCTGAAGGTGAAGCGGCCACTCGAGGCCCAGAGCCCCGCGCTTGGCCCGCTGTCCGGCGGGCAGAGGTGGGGGCGGGAGCTCTGCTTCTGGAGCCGCCGCGTGCCAGTGAGTCCGAAGGTGGGTCAGGGACAGGGCAGGCCCAGGCCGAGGCTCCCCGCTCCTCTCCCTGCCCGTTCTCGCCTCTTCTCGGCCTCCCGTCTCCTGGGGCTCGCTGGGGGTCTGCGTCTGAAGGCCACGCAGGAGGGAGCGTGCTGGGGGCCACCTGCAGGCGTCTCCCGGTGAGTCGAGCCCGCCTTCTCTCTCAGGCTCCTTGGCTTGGGTTTCGCTTCGCAGAGGGAAGGGGCACTCGGCAGGCCGTGCTGGGTCCTGCGCGTGCCCCCACACAAGGGAGGGTGGGTCCCCCTCCAGGGCAAACCGCCAGACTGCATGTGAGGGGGACGGTCCTTCGGACCCAGTTAGACTGCGGTGATCTCCAGCAAGGGTGGGAGAGATGCTCGCAACAAAACCGAAGGGCGCTGCGTTCACGACACTCACCTTCAAAGAGAAAGGACTCAGGAGCTTCACCCGCTTCTGCCTGGTGCCCCACTAAAACCAGCGATGGGCCCCCTCGCCACGCGAGGTCCCTCCTGGGGCTGGGACCTTCCGCTGAGTCACCCTCCTGGGTCCTCCTCATCGCCGCACCTCAGACCTCACGGCTGATTTTCAGCAGTGGGTAGCTACGTATGCCCTTTCCAACTCCTTAATTACGACAAGTTAGAAAGGAAGGACTTACTGTTCATTAAATCGTCTGCAAGAAAATTAGACCAGGTACTGCCGAAATTTCAAACTTAGAAATTCAGTAATAAATCAAAAAATTAACAGCAAGACGAGTGATTCTTTTCCCCGAGCTTCACTGGATGTCCCTCCCAGCCCCACGTGTGCGCGCACACACCCCTACCAGCGCATGTGCATAAACACACGCACACACACGCACGTCGTTACTCTGTGTGAGATGAACGTACAGCACACACAGCCCGATCCCCAGGTACGACCTGATCTCATAAAACATCACGCCGCTTTCCGACCCTGATTCGGTTTGACAGTTCGAATCAGGAAGCCATTACGGTGAGAAGAAAACTCGTTAAAGAGAAACCCATGGAGCGAGCCGTCTGCGTCTGCGTCTGCGATGGCCGGACGACAACTGAATTTGCCAGCTTTACGATTTCCAGCGTAGATCAGCACACGGACACACGGGCTTTGGAAAGCAAAGCAACGAAAAGCCCCTGGCTCCGGCTCTGCAGAGAAGCGTGCAGACGGGACCGGGGTCGGGGTCGGGGGGCGGCCTGACTGCGGCCCTCACCTCTCTGTTCGCTTCCTCTGGAGTCAGACGGGCCTGGCAGCCCCGCCTCTTCTCTTCCTGTGGCCTCTGCGTGCCAGGTGACCCCCTCCCTGACCGTTAATCCCTGAGGCCAGCGCCGAACAAAGCCTCCAGTCTGTTGACCACAGGAAGTTTCGGTGAAACTGCAGATAGCATCTCACAGCTCCACAGCCACGAAGGTGGGAGGACGGACCTTGTCAGCACCCCCGGGAGGCCAGACAGGAGGACGCCGTGGCTGACATCAGGCCCTGGCCACCGGCCTGCCAACACGGGCCTGACCCCGCCGCCAGCTGGCGTCTGCCCATGTGACCCACCGCAAGGCCTCGGGATCAGGGCTCCGGGCGCCGGCTCTCAGGTGCCTCCAGGCTCGGTGCCATTCCCTCACATGAACCTCTCCCCGCCCCCTCTGCTGCAGCCTGTTGGTGTCCTGTGTGGGCCAGCGACACCCTTGGGTTCTGGGACAGCAGCTGACCAGCACGTGGGTTCGCCCGTCCCCACCCTGGCTCCTGCACTGGCCCGTCCTCCAGGGCCGGCTTCCCGCCCGCTGGCATTTACTCCCCCTCCGACGACTGCACCCCTTTCCCTGTGGTGTCCTGCTGACCCCGTCGGCCCCACAGACCGTGTGCAGTGTCACCCCTCCGTGGCTGACGGCACAACTCAGCATCGGCACGACCGGTGGGACCCCGGCTCCCAAGGCTGTGTCCCCCTGCCACCCCCTCAAAACGGCGGAGGGGCGAGGCCTCGCTTCCCCCACAGACGCGGGCCCGAGCCCAGTCCTAAGAAGCCGACAGTCACGATTCGGGGTTTGTCTCTGCAACAGCGGCCGGCCATCCCCACACCTCAGACGGAGGTTCTGTGGGGCCCAGACGCTCCCGGAAAAGCGCTCTGCCCGCGTGCCGGAGAGAAGGTGGTGGCCGGGCCGGTCCGCAGCGAGAGCCCGGGACGCAGGTGCTGAGGGGGCCGACGAGGAGACAGGTGGCACAGCACAGGCCGGCGGAAACCGAGCTGTGGGTTCGCACAGGGAAGGGGCCCCCGGCCCCCTGCGGAGGGCCAGCGGCTGTCGCTCACAGTCTGCTCCAGCATGAGCGTTCAGGGCGTAAACAGCGTCGTCCTAGGGTGCGGGGCCCCATGCGCCACGAACTTGGTCCCCCGGGAGAGGGCCTGGTGTCAGCGCCACGGCCAGCGGCCAAGGAAGGGCCCCGCCCTGCCCAGGTCGGAGGCTGCTGCTCACAGAGGTGCAGGCCGGAGGGCGCCTCGCTGCCCACGAAAACGCCCTGCTTGGGTCGACGCTTCGGGAAGGGCCGGACCATTTTCAAACCCCGAAGAAATAGACGAGGAAAGCAGACGAGCGGCTTTCTCTCCCGAGCCCATGGTGAAGGACGTGGCTGCTGAAGGGACGGACGGGCGGTGAGCACCCCGCCCCTGGGGTGTGGCACGTGGGGTCCTCGAAGAGGCGGCCTTGCTGCTCAGCGGTCGCAGCCATAGGCGCCGGGCTCCCGGGTGACTGAATGGCCTTCGGGCGTCTTCTGCTTGCTGGCAAAAACAGGTAACCCTGTGTCCCTGAGAGCTCAGAGTGGAGGGGACGCAGCACCGCAGCAATCAGGAAGAACCGGAGCTCGACGGAGTGCGTCGTCGCCGTCCCCTCTGAGGACGTCACGTGCACCGCAGCAATCAGGAAGAACCGGAGCTCGTCGCTGTCCCCTCTGAGGACGTCACGTGCATTCCGACCCCGCAGGCACAGCGGCCCCGCACGTCCCGGCGTGGCATTCACGATCCAGAGTAGGCATCTGGCCAGACTAAACCTCCGGTTTTAGTTTTCGCTAAAAGCCAACTTCTTTGATTCTGAGCGCGCTCACGAACTAGTGTTAGTGGTCCAGTGGGACCGGACCTTGAGCTGGCGGGCACCGTGGCACCACGTGCACCCCGAGCAGCCAGTGGACAAAACACCTAAAACATCCACCACAAACTCCAAAGTCTTTACGAACGACCCCGTGCTCTTTCCGGAGCTCTGCCATGTGCTCCTTTGCAAAGACGCTGACTGGTGCCGGCTGTGGGCAGGCGCTGGGGACAAAAGGGTGACGGGAGAGAGAGAAGCCCTCCATCCGCGGAGCTCACAGCCCAGCGGGGAGGCCGGGGACTGACCAGATACGTGAAGTTTAAGGTACGGGAGGCCAGGTGGCGAGGACAGCGACGGAAGGGAAGAAAGGGAGACGTGCTGGCCGAAGGGTCACTCCGGGCGGGGCCCCGGTGGCCCCGGGAGAGGGTGGCCTGCAGCCGAGCCCTGCGGGGGTGGGGGGCGCAGCTGTCCAGGGCCAAGGGGACAGGAGGTGCGGGCGCCCGGCGTGCTCCGGGCTACAGGGAGGGCCGTGTGGCGGGGCAGGGACAGGCTGCTGGTTCTGATGGGATGTCCTTGGCTGCTGTGACGGGAGCAGGTGCGGGAGGCGAGTGGCGACCAGGCACGGTGACCCAGGCAGGAGAGGCCGCTGGCTTCGGCCGAGAGGGTGCTGCAGACGCGCTGCTGGGCTCCCGGATTCTGGACGTGTCTTGAAGCTAACGGGCACCACCGACGAGCCAGCACGCTGTGTGAGCGTGAGAAGCGGGCCCACGGCTGCTCCGGGCTTCGGCCTGAGATGGAGCGACGGGGTGGCCGCCGACTGATGGGGGCAGCTGGGCCTCAGGGAGACAAGGTCAGTTTCGGACGTTTACATTTAAGTTTAAGATGCCAATCGGACATCCGTGTGGGGCCGGTGAGCAGGCAGCAGGGCAGGCAAGGCCGCAAGTGTGAGTACCACACGCTTCTAGGTGGGGTCTGGGGCCGTGTGCTGGGCGAGACGCTTGGGAAAGGACGGCACGCAGGAAATGTGAGACGCCGGGGCCGAGCTCTCGGACCGGTCCCTCGTGTGGGTGCAAAGGAGCCAGGAGGAGCCAGCAAAGACGATGGAGGGCGGAAGGCCAGTGCCCACTGGCTGACCCGCCTCCTCTGCGGTGTTCTGACTGTGTGCGTGTCATAAGTGAGCATCCGGAAAACCTCCACACGCTCGGGGGAGAGGGATGAGCTCTAACTGACCGAAGGCCATGGGACAGCTCCGTGCTGCACAACACGCCGCGTGACGAGCTACGTACTACACAATACAAATGCAGACTCGAGTTCTGTTCGAAAGTCTATGTGAAAGTTTGCTTTGCGAATGTTCAGTAAGTTCTGCTTAATGGCAGCTTACTGAGCTCAATTTCAAAACAAAATTCAACACGTTTATGAAAAATTGGATTTCTATTTCTCTCTCAAAAAGTAAATATTTTAAAACAAAAGAAGCGGCTTACCTAAAAGTGATTCCAGTCTGCCTCAAATCTCAGTGACCGTGCAGCCACAGCAGCACACAACCCGCAGGGGGAACACGCCGGGCACGCGGTGGGGCGCTGGCTGGGGCAGCTCAGCTCGGAGGTGACAGGTGCACAGGCGCAATGAAGACAGTGTCTGATGCCAGCCACCGAACCACAGTCAAACGTTACCCACAGAACTGTGGGGAAATCACAGTGGCCCTTTTAAACATTTCAGATCTACCTGTCTAACCAACCAATCGGCAAACCAGCGGTTTTCACACTGTCCAGACGCAGATGGAACGCGTCGCCCAGGCGGGCACCTGCCCCCGGCCCCACGGGACCCGAGCTGCGTGCACGGCACAGTGCGTGCGTGCGTGCGGTGAAGGAACGGACCCCGCGCTCGCCTCTGCTCCCAAGCTGCTACGATGCCGCGTGGCCCGAGCCCCCGTCCCAGCTCTGCGAGCTGGGCGCTCTCGAAACTGCTTTCTTGTCAAGAGGTGTTTCATCCACACAGCCGCTGTTCCAAATCAGTGAACCAGTACCAATTCCTGAGTCTGCCACGTGTCTATCAACAACACGTCATTGCTGTAACGGCTCTCCGTCACGGGGCTGTCGCCCGGCTCAGAGCATGAGAAAGAGGAAGACGTCTTTTCTCCGATCAGATGACTGCGCGCACTGTAGACGGGACGTTGCACACGGGAAGGAGGTTCCCGCTGCGTCCCGGCCCCATCAGTCCTCCTGCCCCCGCGGCCCCTGCACCCCGTCCATCCCGGTCTTCGTTTCCGAGTGCTTTGCTCTGGAGACGCACCTCGCCCGGGACACCGGGCCCGCACGTCCTCACCTTGCCTGGACGCCCACACACCCTCGCCCTGCGGCCAGGACGTTTTTCCCAAACACGTCTCTAACAAGCACAAAGCTGAGCCACGGCAAGGTCAGCAGCTCCTCACAGACCCGGCAGCGTCGCGAGCGGCTGCTGCCTGCCGAGGCTGACCCAGCCAGCAGGCACCACGCGCACCGGCCACACGCTGCTGAGGGGACGGGCCAGGCTGTCGGGGACCCCCGGCAGGCTCCGCGAGCGCCAGGCTGCAGACAGACGCCGGGGACCCCCGGAGTTTCTCAGTGGCATGCCCAGGAGGTCACCAGGTCCTCAGAGCTGCTGGCAGGGAGGGGACAGCGGCATGGCCTGCTCTGAGCAAGGCCTGCCTGAGGGAGAAGCCGCTTCACCGGTGCCTGAATGACCTGGGCGGTGGGGAGAGAAACGCCTAACTCCAGCTCTGCCCCCGCCCCAATCCCACCCCACTCGACGGGGAGGAAATAGAACAAACCTGAGAAGCACTGGCTCAAAGGCCGGGGCACAGGTTCACCGTGAACCCAACACGCGGCACAGGACCGAAGACGCCGCCTAGCACCTGGCCACCCCACTGCCAGTGCCCACTTCCCACAGCTCCTCTCCCAGGGCCTCACGGCCCCCTTCCAGCAAGAGGTACGAGGCACTTGAAGAAACGTAACAAGTATTCGAGCCAGAGTCAGATGTGGCGGGAACGTTGGAATTATCCAGCCAGGAATTAAAAATACACGATAAACACACTAAGGCGATCAACGGAAAAAGTAGATAAGATGCAAGCACAGATGGTAACGTACTACAGAGAACAGACAGAACCTGATTCCCTAACGAACTCAAGGCTGAATTAACCAATCTAGCACCAGTCCATCTTCAGACTCACGCCATGTGAAATAACTTTGCTTATCCGTTCCCCAGACACCACGCTAAAATGCTTGCGGCGCGTCCATTACGTGCATTACTGTGGTCGCACGACTGTTTCTCCTCTGCTGGACCCTCAGGTCGGGCTTCTCTCTCCTTTTTCTCCCATTATAAAGGATGATGCAGGGGGCATCTTTTAGCATACAGCTTGATCTGAATTTAGGGTGTACTTCCCATGGACTTTGCTCCTGGATGTGAAATTATGTCAAAAGATGTGAACATTTCCAACGTGAAGTATCAAACTGACCTCAGAGAGTGTGTGCGTCTCACACCCCTGCCCGCCCTGGGTGTGGCCCGCCTCCTGTGTCCCAGAGGCCAGAGTGACGCCAGGCACTGTTCCCGAGGGTCATCGGCCCTTTCGTTCTCACTGACAAACGCAGATCACCCCGAGTCAATCTCGGCAACCCCGGCCCTCTTGCTGCGGCTGGTCGGGGTGGGCACGTGACGGAGCGCTGGCTAACGAGAAGGGAGCCTCCCATTTTCCTGGGTAAAGTTTCTATTCTGAGAAAGAACAAGAGACGCCGTCTCCCGCTGGGAGTCACTAAGTCTGTAGTGACGCTGGGACCATGTTGGTCTGAGAACAGTGTGGACGAGCTGGGCGGGGTGGGAGCTGGCATCAGCTGGAACTAACGGCCTGAGGGCCCTTCCTTGCCGATTCTTTGTAAGATAAGGGATAAGGGATTACATATACTTTTAAAAAAGGTCAGTGGAAACTGAGCGACGTCAGCCATTTTTATTCCCCAAGGGGACACTGAGCACGACCTACATATCACGGTCAACCACCCGAAGGGAACGGACTCGGGCTGTTTCACCCAGGAAGAGTGACTTGGGCTTCAAACAGACACTGCTGAGTAGGTGCCTCTTTTCAAAAGAATTAGAGTTGAATGGTATTTTAAGAACACTTGAAAAAATTATAAGGTTATTAATCTAGACTGTAAATTGAAAAAAGCAAATTTAATTCAAAACGGCCTTCAAGTAGATCGCAAAGTAAATGACACAGTGTGTCGTACTCACAGGTCGAACACCAGGTAGTGGAAGCCCTCTTCGGATATGCTGTCGTGAAGTCGCACTAAAAAAAAGAAAAAAGGGAAGAAAGTTTGTGTTAAACCGATGCCAAGGGTGACTCTCAGGCGGCTCCTCGTGGGGTCTGTCTGCTCAGCAGAACCGCTGGCGGCCCGAGCTTCGGGCTGGTTCTGATAACGTGCTTAACCCAGTGACCACGATCAAGTTAATTAACTTGTAACAATACTCGTACCTGCACTTTATAAAATGGTTGAGAGCGTTAGCTGAGAGTAAATGCTAAACGAACGTCAACGGCTGTAACAATGTGTCTGTCCCCGGGTCCTGAGGGAGCAGGTTCAGCCGCTCCCCCACTCAGCCTCGTCCTTGCTGTGGCCCCGGTCCAGGCCTTCAGCACTACAATCAGCAGCAAGAGGGGTCATTTAAGAGTCTAGTAAATGGTGTCTTTTCCTCTGCTCTCCCATTTCTTATAAGAAAATTCTACACAGCAGTCCCTGACCAAGCTGCCAAAGCAGCCTTTATCGTGGCATTTCTCAAGTGAAGTCCCATCACCTGTCTACCAAGCCACAAGCCGAAACACAGCGAGAACTTCTAATCCGGTCATGCGCCGGCTCCTCAAGCTACACGACTTCAAATTTTCCAGTGAGCGGGGCTTCCGCTAGGTCCCCAAGGCAGAGGTCTCTCTCGGGAGCGGAGAATGCTCGCTGCTACCCTGCTCCACGGGAAACCACACGCAAAGCGTGTGCTTCTTTTTCTGCCCGTTGTTTTGGCGTTGGTGCCCCGCCTCCCGCACCTTGCCCCGCAGACGGCAAGCTCATCCTCACCACCCTGTCGCTCAGGCGCCGCGGCCCCACGGGGCTGTGCGGGGCAGGAAAAGCAACGAACCGCAGAACACCTGCTTTGGGACATCGCCCTGAAGGACAAGGACGCCTGCTACAACCTGTCCTTGGCGGGTCCTTGTGCAGTGACCACGCGGCAACGTGGACTGGAGAAGACACGCACTGGCACACAAACCACGGCCACCTACAGAGGGCCTTCGCACAGCCCACGACGTCCCAGCCCGGACTTCACACGATGTCCAGTCTTCAGCTCCACCTCCGTCCCTGTCAGATGTCATCCCTGGCCATTCAAATGATTTCCGAACCCCACTCCAAAATTTCTCTAAGGCAGAGAAAGAGTTTTGCTTCAGCCATAATCACGATGACCGCTTGTAAGATGGGGATTTTGTACCACGTTAGCACAAAGCGGGGCCGTGTGCCGGGGCTGGGAGGGTGGCACGTGTCACACACTCTGTGTGTGTCTGGAGCGCATGAAACGTGACATCCCCCCCACCTGCTCCTCCGTCACCCTGGGATTCGCGGCACAGTCCACTTTCACTGACCAGCTCCAATCCCTGTGACTCCTCGGTACCTGCAGCTTCTTCCTCGTCAGGACCAAACAGGAAACGTCATCTCGCAAGTCTGTGCGTCTTTCAGAGACTTGGCACAGTGTAGACGGCCTTTCGAGTAATCGTTTCTGAGCATTACCACAGCAGACGCCAGGCATTCTTCCAAGTTTCTGGACGTGACTTTCCCCCGAATCTCTGTATACCTGTCCCCAGCAAAACGCTGGGTGCACAGACCGCCGTCCTGTAGCCTGAACTGCGTGGACGGAATGCTTCAGCTTGTGGGTGTCAGAGACACCTGCCACCCTTGCTTACACTCACGCTTCCAAACAAAACCAAGGTCTGGCTCTGCTCGCAGCCATGCGGCTCGGTGAAGGAAGCCGGGTCGTGACCGACGATGTGGTGGCTTTCTGGAGTGACAGTCTCGCACACGGCTTCCTGGGTGGCTGCCGCACAGTCTGTTTAGACAGGCGCAGATGACAGCGCGTCTTCGCAAAGGGTCAGTTACTCAGTGAGAACAGCCGCGGTGAGAAGGAAGCAGAGTCGCCGTGGGAGCAGGCGGAGCGGCGGCCCCGTCTCCAGGGGAACGCTCCCGGGGTCTCAGGTGCCCAGCAGGAAGTGGAGGCGGCATCTCGGGTGCCGCTGGGGACGCAGGGCTGGTCCCCGCCACACCGGGGATGCAATCGTACCAGCGTGGTGACCGCACTCACGAGTGCCTGGCACAGCTGCCATTTGGCGTGCGTCGTTTTCTGATGCGAACCTGGCGGTCAGACGCAGCACATCGCGTCCGGGTGAGGCCCGTGTCACGGAAGCATGTAGCTGGCAAGCATGTGCCGTAACGGGAGGGAAGCCGCCTGGCCAAGTGCTTTCGCATCACGCAGCCCCGGCCGCCTCCAGACCTCTAAGCAGCCACTCGGCCAGGTGAGCTTGGTTCTGAACGGACGACGTCACTGACGCGGCTCCCTCTTTCCCAGGAGAAGCGGGGCGCGCTTACGGCCCTGCCCCCGCCCTCCCACTTCCTGCCGCACGTTTTCACGTGACGCACCGGGAAGACAGAAGGGACACGGGCGCGGCCTCTGCACGCTCACCGGACGCACGCGCAGCGCCATCTTCGCGTGGGGCTCCGCATGCCCACGGCCACTCGGGGACGGCTGGTTTCCTTCGCGGCCGAGGCTCCTCCACGCCCGTCGGCAGAGGGGCAGACACGTCCACGCGGCCGGGCAGGGCGTCCCGCAGCAGACGCCAGCTGCTTCTCGTCCAGCCTTGTCTTCTTGTTAAGTTTGTCACGGGTTGAAAACCGAGTTGACTTTTACAAAAACTGACATTATTTATTCCCCATAAATAACCGTCAATTCACGTTTACACCGAAGGAGGTACAGGGTGTTGTGTTTCCCGCACGTCGGCCAGGTCCGGAGCGGCACATGTGGGCGCACACCATCGCCCCGCGCGCAGGCGTCCCCAACACGCTTTCGGAAAGACGGGCGCGGCGCTTGGGAAAACGGGTTATAACGCACCCGGGCAGCCGTTCTCTTCCGAAGTGAGCTCCGAGGCAAAACCAAGTCTAGGAATAAACGAGTTCCAGAAATGCAAACAGCGTAACGGTGCTTTCCTAGACGAAAACGCTGAATTCCAAGGCCGTAAGCATGGGACCTGTAAGGGAAAACCTGTCTGAGGCTAAAACGTTTCCGGCGTTTCGCTGACCAAGGCCCAAGCCCTTCCTCTCGCTGGAAGGAGAGAGGGCCTCTCTCTGGCCTGAGCACGGCGGGGCCCCCGCTGCCAATGCAGTGACACCGGCAGCGTCACTGGCCGGAGCGGACATGCTGCACTCCACTCCGCCTTCCGCCCCGAGCAGCAGTCCTGGGCCGGGACAGGGACGGGGCAGGGACGGGGCAGGCGCCGCCTCTGTCGCCTCTGCTGGGATGTGAGGCCGGAAGTGGGTGAGTCTGAGCCACGTACTCGGACGCGAAAACGGCAGCTGGCGAGCCGGATACTGTTGCTATTCCCGTCACAGACGATCGCATTTCACAGCGAGGGCGCGCACTGGCCACGCTGGGCCTGCTCAGACAGGCGTGCCTGCCCTGCATTCCCCATTCCCTTAAAACACAGCCCAATGGCACCCCTCGAGAGAGAAATTTGAGCTCAACCATTATCAGCTCTTTTGTGACAAAGCCAGTCATTTCTAAAGAGAAAACTCGTCAAAAAGAAAACACGGAAGCACTGAAAATCGAAGTCAAAGTCAAACTGACGTTTCTAGAAAACGGAAGGCAACTCTGCACACGTGCTTTGTTTCCCTTAACCTCTATTTCTCAGGACGCGGGTAGCAGCTAGTGAAACGGTGCCATCTTTTATCTTCCAGTAGGACATGTATTACTGGAGATGGTGTAAATTTGAAAACACACTGTTTCTTTGAAATACAATTCCACGTATACTGTTCGTTTCGCTTTAAACTGAGTAGACGTACAGCTATTTCATTGGCTGTTATGTTGCCAAAGGCAATAATCTTACAGCATTTATACTGATTACAGTCACTTGTTCTCATGTGATGCTTTTTAAATTCTGGACGTAAAAAGTTTGGGAACTGGGCTTAGCCGCAGAAGGCACTGAAACTACCGTCTGTTGTAATGTTAGATGCTGGAACACAAGTCTGTATAAAGTTGCACAAAAGACATGTATTTTGACAAAACACTTAGCACTATGACCACTGATAAATGAGTTATTTTTGCTTTAGGAGAGAGATTTTTCAGAAGTTATCGGCCGTTGTGACCACAGTCGAGGACTGCGAGTTCCTGTCGCTGCGGCACCGTCGGAGTCCTGGGGCCATCTACGCGCCATCACAGCCTCGTGCCGTCCATCACGCACGGGACGCGCTGCGTCTCCGGCATTACATCGCACACGGTACGTGAGTGCCTGGCCCGACGGCACCAGGGGCTCCGCCCGCTGTGGGGTCACGGACGCGGGCATCGCGGAGCACATCGAGGAGCACGCTGCTCGTCTCGTATGCAGTCCCTCGGCCCGGTCACCTCTACCCACACTCGGCGAGCCTCTCACTCTCGTCAGAGGCACACGTGACACGACATCTGGGGCCTCCTTGTCAGAGGAGTTTAACTGATAATCTGTTGCCTGCACCTGACACTTCAGACAAGCAGAGACTCTCGCTGTCCCCTCAGGGACGTGGCCTTTGAGCCCCAGTGGCGCCCCGTCCTATAATGTCACCCACACCAGACTCCACATGCAAACCCTCCCTCCCGCAGGCTCCAGGCCAGCTGCCCATGGCCCACCCTCACCCTCCCCAAGCCTCACGCACACATTTAAGGAAAAGTAAGAATGACCCACTGAAATAAAATGATGACCTTAACCAATCTTGAATTTTAGAAGTAACACATCCTAAGATTTTTTTGGATACGAAGTTTTAAAAAAAGAATTAAACTGTATCAACTTCCAGCCAGAGCCAAAGTGTAATGGAAACAGAATGCAAAACAGAAACAAAACAGAGCCAGCTTGCGACACGCTGGATACACGTAACGGTGCCCGCGCCAATGCGCAGGGAACGGCAGCCCGCGGGCGTGAGCGTCCCTGGTGGGGAGGGTGGCCACGTCCCCGCTGGCTGTGTGCGCCAGCCACCGCCTGCCCTCACTGTGCCTCCAGAGCGATGTGGCACTCATCAC